TCATTGTTCCCATACAGCTGGGTAAACAGACAAAGTCAGTCCTATGATGAAGGACCTTATAGCATTCAAAACTCTTCACATATGTGGGATTTTTCTTTTTTCTTTAAGCAAGCTAAGAATGTGTTTAAAGGTGACCTGTGCTGAAAAAATATGTAACTGGGTAAGTCTGGGGACAATCACAAAGGAAAGGCTTTTGAAGATTGGCATGTTTCAATACCTTCCTCAAAGGAAAAAATTAATACAACAAATAAGGACTTTTTGAGGCTTTAGTATGTAATCATCCTTATTAAGACAAAAAAAAAAAAAAAAAAAGGACAAGAATCTTAGTTACCAGTATCAAAAGAAAATAAGGCTTATTAGTTTTTACAGAAAAAGGCTTTTTTTGGACTTTACTGTGAAGTGATACAACTACATTCAACAATTTTTAGGAAGTGATTAAGGAGAAATAGCAACATAATAAAGGAAGGGTTTTTTTTTAAAAAGGCCTTCCCAAAAGTCAGCTTTGTTAGGATTTTACCATATGCCCAAAGCAGACCATATCTTTCAGGATGCTTGCATGGTGCTTAGCATTGAACAATACCTTATTCCTTATGAGGGCCACTGGCAAATCCTAAAAGACGGGGCAAACATCAGAACACAGAGGGAGACGAGAGATGATACACCGTTGAAAATAAATTCTTGATATTCCTTTCCGTCTATAATCTCACTTCATACCCATGCTTCTTCTACACAGGGAAGAACTGAAGCCTTACACATATACATACACCAGAATCTTTGTGAACCAAGAGAATTAGCAGATGTGTTCGTAATCTTCCACAAAATAAGAAACAGCAGCCAGCTGCACTTGTAAATTCAAAGATTAACATTAATAAGCAGTGCTAAGACTACAGGTATTATCTTTCCTTAAGGTGATACAGCTCAAGAACCCAAATTCTGCAGAAACTGAGCTGTCTGTCCAACTTTTGTGCCTCAAGTCCCACCCTATACTGCAGAACATCTACAGATTCATCAGCCAGAACGTGCCAAATCAAACTGGAGTCTTGCCACTGTTTGAGATGGCAGTGAAGTAGTGAGTATATAAACTAGGTCAGACATGATTACCTAGAACAAGGGCAATTTTCTTCACATGTCTGTGTAAAGCTTCTGAAAATGGCTAAGACTGAATTTCTGGGCGCTGCAGAGGATATAGCCAAAAACCATTTTTGATAAAGAAGTTAAACTACATTTTACTATGAATGATACTTTCTATTAACAGCAAGGCAGAAGCCTATTTTTCAGAAGAGCTCTTTCTTTACCAAAGTGCTATCTCTCTGAATCTGAGTCAACTTTAGCAACTACTTTAATATTCACTTTACAATTAATGCTTCTTTTTATGGGTTGGTAGAAGGTAAACCAATTTCAGTTCGGCTTCTAGGTATTGAACTTATTATAAAAAGTTATGTACTTAAAACTCCTGTAATGAAACCAGAGGCATCATGAGATATTAACCTAGAGTTAATGCTGAGAAGGCCAGTTTGAGTAATTCAATTCATGTCACCTTAAGTATCTTTTCAAATTGAACTAACTTTATCTCACAAAAAAAGGAAGTTCCATGTTCTAGTTACTGATTATTGACTCCATGAGAGTTCTGACTTAAATTGTCTTATCATCATCTTTCTAGCCATTTTATTTCACTACTACCAGGATGCTTCTTTACACTTTGAGAGCTGATTTTCATTATAAAGAAGCAATATTAGCTAAGAGGAAAACCTGGTTTCAGAGTTACTACTATTGTTTGGTGATACTAAACCAGGCAAAAATAAAAGCACCAAAGCATCTGCATTAGTTCAGTACAGCTACAAACCAGGGCCGCACTTCAGCCACATGCACACAGCTACTACAGTCATTTACATACTATAGAACGCCACCTCTTTTTACAATAATGCCATCGATATTTGGTAAGCTGCTGTTCTCTTGACCTGTTAATTGTCTTATTCTGACAGAAAACCCAGCATTTAAACACTGAAAGGAGATGTTTCCAAAGACCTATCTAAGCCCAAGTTAAAGTGAGAGCTTATGTTCCAAATTATGGTATGATAAGAACGAGGGAGACAGGCAGGTGAAAAGCAGAAGCAGGAGGCATTAAGATACAGATGCAGCACTAGAAATTACTCCAAACTAACAAGAAGGGGGGGGATGGGGGGGGGGGGGAATAACAGAAACAAGAAAGAACAGCTCAAAACGGGCAGAACAAAGAAGTGCTTCATTATAGAGTACAGCTGCGCAGTCTAGTGTTTCTGCAAGAGACGGGAAAAATCGGAACAACATCACACATTGAAACACAGAGATCCCGGTAAAATCAGCAGTGTTCTGTAATAGGAAACACTGATTATGTCTCCTAGACAGTTCTACAAAGAGAAAACTATGTGGCAAGCTACCTATCTTGCTTTAAATCCAGACATATCCAAGATTTCCTTAACCCGGAGAAAATCAAGCGAAAAGGAAAAGATTTCAAATGGATTTGGATTTAAACAAAACTCAAAGACTTCCATTATCCTAACATTTCAATAAAATTGCTCTTGTCAAAGTCGAACTTAAAACAGAAAAGGAGAGCACAAAAGCTTCAGAGGGGCAAAAGGAACTGGCAGGGGCAGTACTTGGACCAAGAGGAAAGTGTTCTGGGCCTGTCCTCTTCCAAATTTTCCCCCCAAAAATCCATCCCTGCTGTGCTCCCCTTCTGTAGACCCCGTCAGGCAGACAGAATAATGCCAGCCTGAGCTACTGTATTAAGACAGTGCTCAAAGAGAACAAAAAAAAACCACTCGAAGAGGGACCCATCAGGACTTTAAGAGCTCACAGCTCAGGTATTAAAATATGTATGAAAATAACACACAAGTCCCATGAAGAGGCAGCCCAGTGGCCCTCCTTGGGTTTTGAAAGCTATCCCTTGAGGGAGTGCATGAGAGAAAGAATGGACAGAGTGGAGCAGTCCTGCTCACCTCTTCACAGTTTCTAAACTGCGATGAGAAACACAGCACAAAGTGCTTGTTTGGGTAAAAAATGGTAACAATTTATAAAGCCAAATGCAAAGAACAAGAAAATTGAAGAGGAAGGCTAGAAACATCAGAAACATTTTGCAGGCCATAAAAAAAAAAAACAGTTGAAGCATATTCTAACTGATTTTTATCTATGCCTACAATGCTTTGCCCACAAGAAAAGGACTAGGATAATTTCAGACCTGCTTGGCTGGAGCTGTAGAGTATTTAACCATAAATGAAATGTCAAGGCAAACCTCAATATAATATCTGAATTTGCATTTGTGGACAAAAGTACCTGTAAGTATAGAGAAAAGAAATAACAGAACCAAAGACGAGCTTGATAGAACTTTGCACATGAAACCAGAAAACAATTTGAAAGAAGTCTCTGTGTATACACTGCTAGAGTGACTAGGAAGACAGAAGAAGAGGAGAAGAACAGGGATTGTTGAAATAATTTGATAGTCAGTGGGTTGAAGGTTTCCTATTATCTGCTTCCATGACTTTGTCCTGTAGATGTGATAACACTGGATCCCTCAATAATAAGGGCTAATCTATTATAGGATAAATGTATTTGAAGTTGAAAGGCTAGAAATGAAACATTCAGGGCAAAAACTGAAAGAAGGATTGGCATCACCCAAAACACAGCTACCACAGTGCCTTTAGACTACATGGACTCCTCTGGACTATTTTCCACAGAGATTCCCAGCAAGTTGCATGCCATACAAACAGCAACACAGACATCACCCATTCTTGGAGGATATTCTTGTTTTGAATTCAATGCCTTTGCAAAAATGGAGGGCAGACATAACCACAAAACAATGAAAATGAAATGTTTATAAAAGGTTAAAAGCCTGACAAATAGCTAAATGTCCAACAATGTTGGATCAAAAAAAAAAAAAAAAAAGCTAAAGAAACCCTAAAAAACCAAATCATGAGGACAAAAAAAAAAAACATTCCTGATGCCAACAAAGTCAGAGAGTATTGCTACCTGCTTCCTGAGAGAATTAGAAGACTCCTTCCTGCACAGTCTCCAGTCTCCTGTCTGTATCTGCCTGTCTCCTGTCTCTTATCTGCCTGTATAATTCTCACAGCAGGGAACCACTGAGATGCCAGAATCAGACCTCCTTTTGGATACCCTGTGCTGATGACTTTACCTCTAGCCCTGTGATAGAGAAGCCTTTAAGACTGTTCCAGCAGAAGAGGGGCTCAAGGGCATAACCTCTTACAAAAAAGCATGGTCTTAGATAAGATGGGTTCTGGAGATCTATCTACAGATGGAAGCTTCTGCCAGGGAACAGTAAGCAAGGACATGGGGTAGAGCACTTGCATAGGCAGTCTTCTCTTCCAGGGTATAATTTGCCATCAGCAGGGATGCAAACCGAGCACCTGGCTACCAGGGGAAAATCTCAAGCAACCACGTTCTCAAGGCTTTGGGCGCCTACATACAAGAAACATTTTACCATTTCATTTAACACGTATCCCTAGTCAACATTTTCTGGTTTTAACTGCATATAGAACTACAGGTCTTCTATAGATAGCTTAAATCAGATGAGCTGCTCTACAGACTTGAGAAAGGTCTTATTGACCAAATGCATCATCTGTAATGCCCTTTTCAATCATCAAAAGCCACAGTGAAAATGTGAAAGGCTGTATCTACAGTGACTGCAATTATTTTCCTGTTTAAATAACAGAACAGAAAACATAACAGAATCTTAACTTTTTCCTCGGCAAAGGTGTGGGTTCCCATGATTCCTACACCATTATAACATGGTCAATTAACTTCACCTTCTACTAACCCCAAAATTTGTTGGGATTTTTCTCTTTAAGTTCCTGCAATCCATGTATTAAGGCAAGGACGCATGGGAAACCAATCACAAAATAGCATTCAACACCATATGATGTAAGATAATACACTCACAGTCTCAAAAAGATGTTTTGACTAGGTAATTTAAATAAAAAAGAGAAGGCAAAAAAAGAGCTTACCTTCTGCTCCTTCTCCTTTGCCGCACTGAGTTCAGCAAGGGAGTGTGATAGTTTTTCTTGCTGCTCAGCTAGGTACTTCTGATAAAGACTCAAAAGTTCTTGGCATTCTCTGTACTGCTGCTGCAGAGGTGAGACATCAGAAGTTAAGGGAAAAACACTGTTTAGCGAACAGTTATAGCCAAATATATACCAACTTACTCTGTGTAAATCTGATTTAGATCCATTACAGTTAAATTTAAAAACAGATACCGTGTGTTTGAGTAGTGCCTAATGATGATAAATCTGCCTAGATATGAATGTTCAAGTACAACATTCTTCTTTACTCAGAGTGGAAAAAGAAGACTTGCATGAAATTCTTTTACCACTGGAAAAGGGACAGCAGCAGGAGGCAGGTGACGACATTGTTTTAGCTGGAACAGTTACAACCCTCTTAATCGTATTCAGCAAACCCAGCCATTACCAATGTTTATTTATAAATAAATTAATAGCTGGCCAAGTAAGTAAATAGTCCATTTTAAAGCACAGACATCAATTCACAAGCCCACATACCCAAATCCAATCTCTTTGCTTAAGTGCCAATGGCTCAAAACCCCACAGCCACAGATGCAGTGCTACAGGCCTTTTACAGACCAGCAATACTTTTTGGACAGTAATTTGGAGAAGCAGCAACTGTGGTGTTTGCAAGGATATTAGCAACAGTGTCCTGCCTTGCTTGCAGCATTGAAATTCCAACAGGAGATAAATCTGCTCTTCACCTGTCATTGTGTAATTCCCTCCCTTGCTCATGTAGCATGGTAAACCATTTACGCTGCCCTCTCTCCCCCCTCACTTTTAATTATGCATGCAGATGGGATAAGGGCTCGCTGTCCAAAGAGATTACTCTGAATAAATACTTTAATAACAAGTCACTGCAATTAAGGTAGGGAACAAAAACTTCTTCAATCTTTAAAACGGTGTTGAGTTACAGATTTCCTTAACATTTTTATGATCTAATCATTGCTTCTGGGCAAATTCATGTTGCAATCACTTTTGCCAATCACGGCTGCATAAATAACTCACTGCTTTGTTATTCCCTGTTATAACCCTAAGGGGTTTTTTTTGGTTCCGTTTTGTTGCCTTCCCCCCACCACCTCCTTTCTTCTTGTTCTTTTGCAGGAGGGATGGCCTTGCCAGGGCTTCATTTCTGTTGTTGTTTGGTTAGTTTTCTTTCCTTTAAATAAAAGAATACCGAGAGAATAAGCAAAACATTTTAGGAAGGAATGGAAGGTTAATAAACCCCAATGCTGAAATCAATCTCACAACACCTTTGCTCAGAACCTGGAAATACAAGAGGGTACAAACAATGGTCTTAACAAGCTAATTGCTTTCCAGAGCCAGCCTGCCTGAAGCTGGAACTGTTTTACATTTCAGTTCATTTCGTCAGAGAGCACCAAAAGGCTGAAGTGATTTGTGGTGGTCTCAGGAGTCTCTGCCAGCTATGATGTATATAAAAGGAATTTTTTATTCCAGTTGTAACCATAGGCAGTAATGTTTATAGTAGGTGAACATATTAGCCTGGACGCAGGGCATGAATTTTACTCTAGCAAAAGCCAGTTCATTTATACAGCCTAAGAGTTAAATGTCGGTATTTGAAGACAAATTATAGGGAAATTCATTTAAACCCATGTTATGTGGCAGAATATAAAAACAGACAGTCCTATCTATCTTTATCAATTTTTTACAGCCCTCTTAATTCACTTTGCTTCCAGCAACCCCTTCCCCTCAAAACATATTTTGCCCTCTCCTCCCTCCAGCGAGCACACTGCTGGCACCACAAACGAGCACCCTAAACAGCCTTGGGGCACACGAGTGACAGCCAGGCAGCCATCCTAAATCTTGCCACAGTGCTAGTATCAGTCCTGCTGGAAAGCCAGGCAAGACTGCCCACATTCCCAGGCTTTACAGACTGTGGAGCCTCACAGCACAAACGATGCCACCATCTCCTGCCTGTGGCTGCCAAATTCATTTAAAATACAGTTTAAAACAGGACAAGCAAAATTAACGTCAGCAAAGTATGCAAGCAAATCCTGATTGTCCAAAGGTCAGTTATGTGATCATGAGTGAGAAGGGCAATGGCTCACGTGAGGCTGAATGGTGGCCGAGATGTCTCTGAAATACTTGTGAGATTTGGTCAGCCACAGTATAACTCACTGTATTAGAAGATTAAAATCTTGTTCACTCACACAATCACTCTACATTAAGCAAAGTAGTGTGACAGCCACCACAGCGTAAGAGTTTAAAGCCCTGCTTTGCTTACTTAAGTAAACATGAATCTTCGAATATGAAAAAAGAGTTCACTTGTTTGAGACACATAGCTGAAAGTATGGCAAATCTCAAAAATGTGCTGGTACATTTATTGTAGAATATCTTCTTAAGAAAAAAAAAGCCTTAATATTAGATCTTACTCTCTCATTCTATTGAATTTTTTGCTAAAAGCAGCAAGATTATCTCCTTTTTTCTCCTACAAATTGGCCAGATAATACACAACACTGTCACAAAAATATTGAAGTCATTCAGATATAACAAGATCATGCATCTGCTAAGGCAATACAGTCTTTGGACAGAGATGCACATTATAATTATTTTCATAATCTGCTACTAAAAAAAAAAATTCTAAGGTTGAAAAAACAATACAGGAGAAGTCCTACAGATTTTCATTCCAAAAAAAAAAAAAAAAGTAATATACCTAAATAGACATATTTGGTAATTCTTCATGTGTTCAGGAGCACAAATATTGAATTTGCAAGATGTTAGTTACCTGGGAGAAGTGGTACTTGGCATTTCACTAAAAGGTAGTTTTATGTCCAAGAAATACACATTTGAATGTATTAGAGAAATACTTTTTATGCAGTTTATCAGTAAAGTATCGAGGTTGTATGTGGAGGGGGGGAAAACAAACAAAAAAAAAATAGAAATGCAAAGGTTAGGATTTTAATAGCCACATTTACATGTAATACTGCAAGTGCTACATATTTTAGAGAATAAATTAGTTAATTTTTTCACTAAATGTAAATCAAAGAATTAAGAGCTCATTTATGGCTCTTATGAGATAATAACCCCAGTGGAGATAGTTGGCTTTAAGAGGAGGGGCTGCCAGCACACAGTGGTTACAGACACACTCACAGAAGCCAGGAATGGATGTCCAGGGAGCCAGGCATGGAACTAAGAGCTTTTCCTTGGGGTGAAGCTCTACAAGAAGGCACAGCCAACCTAAGGTTCTACTGCTTCCAAAGATGCTCTCCCACTCATTTCTTCCATCCACACCAGCTCTGCTGCCCCCCAGATGTCTCCCTCCAGGCCTCAGCAAACTGTCTCAGCGAGGCAAAAGGACAACCAGGCACAAGATCTGGCATCAGGCATGCAGAGGGTGTGGAGCTGGGAGCAGTGGACATCTCTACCAGCAACAGTCACCTGTCTGGGCGTGTTTATCCACCTTGCAAAGTACCAACCCCCTCCTTGAGTTCCACTCTTAATTCTCAACCAATTAAGTCTGCTCCATTAAGGCTACCTTATATTAAAGCCACCTCAACTTACAGCTTACTGCTTGCTGAAATACTGTCAGCCTCCCACAGGCTGAAGTAGAAAAAAGAAAACGTACATTTTCTGCTTCCCCAGAAACTGTGAGGAGAAAGGTCAGTCTCTAGCACACCCAGTGACTCCCTTCACTGTTCCCAGTCCACTGTTTCCACTGGCGCTTTGAGCAGAAGTGAAGCCCAGCTTAAAATCTGAAATGTTTTAGTTCAGAGCATTCAGCATCTACCTCAGAAGTTCTTGAATTCCACACATCAGCCTCCACATGCTTGTGCAAGCAGTGTTCATGCTACAGTAATTCAAACAACTACTGGTCTCTTCAGGTCCAGGTTTCCAAATAAAGCCAACATCAGGTTGGTCCATGAGGACTATTTACCAAAATTCTCTTTTCTTATATCACTTTTTGTAAGAGGGGAAAAAGGGAACCAAATCAGAAGATAGAGAATCTTCTCCTTAGAGAGAAGATTTCTTTGGCGGGCCTTTATAATTTAAGAATAAATGTTTCATTTTATCTCACTTTATTAAAACAAAAAAAAAATTTAAAGCAGCTTCCAGTCACAGCAAACTGAGTCTGGAAAAAATTCTTCTAGAAGCTACTAGCAAGACAAGAGAACACAGCTAATGAGATTATTTGCAATCAATCTAATAACAAAGGCCTTCCTGTATTTTCAGAATGTTTGTGAGAACTCACCATCTAGTGACAATTTCCTCACTGGTTTGCCAAGAGCAGCTCTATTTCCCTTTTTACACATGAGAAAACTGTATCACGGGGAGTTTTTGGGCATCTGTGAGCACACAGCTGCAGCCCAGCAGCCCCACACTCCTCAAGCCAGCTCCAGGACATGTGTCATGCAGCTGCAGGGTAAACTAGCACAGCTCAGGCACAACACTAACAGACCAGATTCACCTTGCACCTGATTAGCTCAGAGTCTGAGTTTGCCTGCATTCACCCATGCAGAAAAGCCCTAATAGACCTCCCAAGCATCAAACAAGATGCGCAGCGATGACTCATTCCTGTTGTGCCTGACTGTAGCTTCAGCTTGGACTGTCCTTTCACTCAGAGCTGCATTCTCTAATCCATGGCCAGAACAGAACACAGGAGCTAAAACTCCATCATCAGTCACCAGATGCTGCAGTCCCTTCAGCCCCATATCCAATAGAAGACTCTCTATAGACTCAGAGCTATTACAGAGATATGCAAAGATGAATAAAGTAATCAAAGGAAAGAAAAAGTCAAACACACAAAAATTGGATTGAAATTTAAATCGGACAGCATTAACTTGAACTCTGTGGTAGAGATACAAGAAACTTTCTGTGATGTGATGAAGGAAGTTTTTTGACGTGTACTTACAACCAAGTAGCCACAAAGCACTGGTCTTTTTAAATTCCTGCTTAAGGACATGTAGCTAGAAACCTGACTAGTTATCATCATGTTGCCAGTTTCAGCAGACTTAACTCTTTTCACTGCCTCAGGTAGTCCCTTGAAAACAAACGCTGTGAGACAAACTAGACCAGGAAGGAGATGCTGCAGAAATGCCACTAACAGTGGGTGGACAAA